TTCTCTTGGGCTACCGAGGAGCTCCAGAGCTTCCCAGGGAAGAGGGTCGGACTTCATGGGAAGAAAAAGGGGAGATATCCACGTTTCAATCAATTAGGAAACACATCAATACTGTAAAAGCTGTTTCTGCACACACCTGCTGACTCCCACCAACAGGCAGCCAGCAGTAGCAGGGCTGCCAGTACCTTGTTTGTTGAGACTGTGTGAGGAAAATGCTGACGTGGCATCATTAACATCATTTTAAATTAACTATTGAAGCGAGGAGAATGCTCATATCCACAAGGAAAGCTACTTTGTTTAAACGGTGATTGCATACGTGACTGTACACATGTATTTATCTATTTATTTTTTGCTGAGGATGGTTGGCCCTGAGCTAACACCTGTGCCACTCTCCCTCTATTTTGTATGTGGGCTGCCACCACAGCGTGGCTGCTGACGAGTGATGCAGGCCTATGCCAGGAACCAAACCTGGGCCACTGAAGTGGAGGGCACCAAACAACCACCAAGCCACTGGGGCTGGGCCCCGTACAGGTGTATTTTTAAAAATATTGTCAAGGGCCTCATCTTTCCTTTCTATTTTTGAGTATTTTAAATGTACATAATTATTAGTGTAGTCGTGCACTATACATAATTTGTAAATACATGAAGACCTGTATACTGACAGCACGAGCTTTCTTTTGAGCTCTTGATCAGTAGCTGAGCAGAACGCTACACCGTCAGTGTATAACAGTACAAAGATTAGAATGTAAGTGGTACCTCAGAGTCAGCTCCATTTGAATTTACCATGTCAAATGCTGATTTGATTATAGATTATGTTCTTGAGAATCATCTTACACCACTGAGAACGTTTTGGAATAAATCTGTATCTAGAAAATTTTGTGCACTATTATGACCAAATTTTACCTATTTTCTTTTTAATGTACTTCCATTCTTGTGGAGCTTATACAATGATTATATTTCAAAAGAAAAATTATAGCAACTCTCAGTGGAGCACATGTAAATAAAGGTAGCAGCACCTCCAGCAGACGCTAATTTCTGATTTCTCCTTTAAACGACAGTAAATGCATCTGTTGCACAGAAATTATATCCCAATCAGGGGACCCTATAATTGTCCTGATTAACTTTGATTCAATTAACAGATAGGAGCTCTCCAAGGAGCTCTCGTTTTGAGAGCTAAAAAGAAATTGAATTATCCCACTGCCTTCCCCCCACCTTCAGCAGTTCTCAAATTTAGAGTAATAGATACTTTAATGAGTTTTGAAGGATTAATTTTTCTCTTAATCTGTTACCTGTATCTTCTGAATCAATGTGGGAAATGCGTGTGTGCAGATAACCAAGAGATGTCTGGCCCACCACCCTACACATACTCCAACAGAACACTTTCTTTTCTTACATAAAAAGTAAACAAATCCGAATGTTACAGAATTGTTTTTAATGAATTTATATGAATATGCTTTTGTTTCTTTGGAAAATTGTCTCCTTATTTGAGGGTAAAAATGCAGGTAGCAAAATTATCATCACTATATAATTCTATGAAATTGCATCATACATGCATTTAATTTTCTAAAATTCCAATAAATATACTTGGGAAATAAAGAAGGAAAGAAAGACAATGAGAGGTAGAGAGAAAAGAAAGAAACAGTCTGCATTGTTCAGATAACACGCTTCCCATTGCTCTGGTTTAGCATGGTCTCCAGGAGGAGATGGAGACGTGAATCTTCAGTCCAGCCATTCTCAGCTTTCATCCTGTAAAGGCTTTGCACAAATAAGCATGATTCTAGTGTTTAAAATATGCATCTTTCACCATCTGGACTCTGAATACAATCTAACACTTTATATTGGGCTGAACTGAAGCAGCAGCAACACTTTCCAGTGCGAAGACTGGCAATTTTGTTCCTTAGGAAAGGCAGTGTGTGCACTTACTGTACTTTAGAGGTGATGTAGGGCATTCTCAAGGGCAACTTGGATGATGTGATTTTCGCTTGCACTCAGGCTGCAGTGGCTAATCCCCATGTAATCTGGGACTGTGTTGTGCTCGTGTATGTTGAGAAGCATTGGTAGTGAGGCTGTCAATCACCTCTGAGGCATCACTAGCTCATAACAATTAATGTCTCCTAGGGCACCAAGCTGGCTTATTTCCTAGCATCCTCACACATTTGCAGAGCTGCACGCTCTCATGCACTCCCAAGTTTTAGATGTCAGAGTACAGAATCCTTCTCTGGGTCACCATTTCCTCTGCCCTCTGTTCCTTCCCTCAGTGGTCCAAGACCTAGACTTTTGAAGCTCTTGTGGTAAGAGCAGAAGGAAGAAGGAGAACTCGGGAACTGGGGCCAGCCCGGTGGTGCAGCAGTTAAGTTCGCACGTTCTGCTTCTCAGTGGCCTAGGGTTTGCCGATTTGGATCCCGGGTATGGACATGGCCCTGCTTGGCCCAAAGCCATGCTGAGGTAGGTGTCCCAGGTATAAAGTAGAGGAAGATGGGCACAGACGTTAGCTCAGGGCCAGTCTTCCTCAGGAAAAAGAGGAGGATTGGCAGTAGTTAGCTCAGGGATAATCTTTCTCAAAAAAAAAGGAAACTAGTAGGGTGGGCCCCTACAAAAGCAGGATTCAGATTCTAGATTTCTCTTAGTTGAGAACCCTCCTCCTTAGCCATTATTTCCTAAATCTTACCATTTTTCAAAGTATAAGCTTCTAGAAAGTCTGTCTTATTTTTGGCACTTCATTTCATCCTCACAAGGAAATTTTTTAAGAGAAGTTGACGGAATCCAGAGGGCACAACATCCTCCTACTCAGTTACACTCCCATTTTCCTCTCTACCTTCCTCTTCTGCTGCTCGCAATGCTTGCTTTAAAGTCAAAAATACCGTGGACCACAGGATCGATGAGCACAGGGTCACATAAAGCTCCTATCTGTCGTTTCATTTCTACACCCCTTGTACCTGGCACAGCTGCTGGAAGGAAGCACACTCAACACACGAGAGGAACGACTGAGCCATGGATGAGCAGTGACATGTACCGGGACACAGGGAGTCTCTACGTAGGGCAAACCTAAAAGGAAAGCCATGCCTGGAGCCCTCTCCTCCTCTGAGAGCAAAGAACTCTTCAGACTCCTTTCACTGTGACTGCCTCCAATTCCATCATCGTCACTCATGTCACATCACCTCCACTGGTGCCTCAGTCCAACGAGACGGAGTCACAGACTGTGAGAGTAAAGCAGCAGTGCAAACTGATGCATTTCTACACAACTGAGGCATTTTACAACTGCAAATATTTGATCAAAATATGCATAGTTACCAAACCACCACATAACCCCTTTCATATTCTTGATAAATGGTGTGTGTCACACAAAGCAATTTATTTCTTCCCTGATTTCATTAGGGAAGAAAGAGGCTTTCATTTGTAACTCAAGTGATTTCTACATGGTGAATTGGCAGAAAGAAGTAATTTGCCTTTCAAAAGAAGAGGGTTTAATTCAGAATTAGTGAGCAGGAAGGGTGGGATCCCTTCTAACTTCACTCATGATTTATCACATATTTTCACAGGCCTCTCTGGGAAGAAACAGAAAACAATAACTTTTGATAGTTATTTTCAGCCTGCATTTATTTTGAAGCAGGGTTGTGTCAATATAGTTATTATCAGGTTGCCTCAAACTCATTGCTGTACACTACTTTTTTTCATCATGAAAACCGTGAAAAGGAAAACGTTTTCCTGTCACCCTGAATCCATTTGTGCATACTCACTGTAGGGTTTTGGAAGAATATGTCCTGAACTGGAAAACTGAAAACACAGAACGTCCACAAATCACAAGCCACCTTCTCTCGAAGCAAATAAAACTTGCTGCTCTGAGCCATTTTACCTGGAACGCTTAGATGGAATGTACGCTGACAACAGGAGGGAAGCGGCTAACTTTTGCTGCGTTCTCCCTCCTGCCTGGTATTGTTGAAACTCTTCATCCCCAGAGCTACCCTGTAAATTAGATTTTTCAATCTTTGTTTTTAAATGAGGAAAGTGAGGTTCAAAGAGTTCAGCATATTCCGGAGATTACCGAAATGGGTTCCACCCCAAGCCCCCTCGCATCTGCACCGAGAGGGAGTCTGGCTGCGGGACCTGCTGCAAAGCGCCCGTGAGATCCAGCTCGCAGCGCCCCGGGCCACCTGCCCCTGCGGGGTCGCCGGCTCCCGCCTCCCGGGAAACGGAGGCTATTGTCGCGCATCCTCCTCAGTGTCCTCACGGTCCGGCCCTGAAAACCACGGTGCCAAATGTCCAACCGCACAACCAAGTGTACGTGTTTAGATTGCTTACAGGATACGTTTATCTCAGAGAAATTAAGAAACCAAGTCTCGCGGTCGTGTTTTAAGAAAATCTACACCTCGGAATTTCTGATCTACCCTCAGCGAGTGATGGCATTCCTCCAGAGCAGAATCCTCCAGGGGAGACCGCAGCCTCTCTGCCTGGGGGATGACTTCTGGTGATGCAGATTGGAGGACGAGGGGAAACGGTGGGCGTTGGGAGAGGGAGCGAGAGGAAAGGCGATGTGAGAGGTGAGAACGCAACCCACAGGCAGAAAGCGCAGGGCAATTCCGAGTCCAGCCACACCGACGCCTCGCAGCGCGCAGCCGGCAGCCGCCGCACCCGCACGCGCTCTCGTCCGGGATCGCGCTCTGCTGACGCGTGCACGCTGAGGTGGGTCTAGAAAAGGACAGCCCACAGCAAACGTCCGAGAGCCGGGACCTCGGCAGAGCGCCTTGAAGTTGAGAGGAGAACAGCCTGGAAGGATGTGAGCTGCGTCTGGGAGGGCGTAGCGCCCCGCCAGACGCGCAGGGACGGAGCGCGCAGGGACCGGGCGCGCCGGGCAGCGATCCGCGCCGCCCCGACCCCGACGCCCCCGACCCCTCCTCCGCCCTGACCCCGGAGGCGCGGGCTCCTCGCCATCCCCTGCGGGCGGGAGCGTCCCTGAGTCGGCGAGCGCTGCGCTGCGCCTCCGCTCCCGGGCCGAGGGCAGAGGGGACTCGGGTGACGCCGCCGCAGACCCGCCGCGATGGCCCTGGTCCCCGTGAACTGGACAGGGGCGGCGGACACCGAGTGGCTGCCGCTGCTGGGTCCGGCCGGCAACCTGTCTGCCGCCCCTGCCGCGCGCGGGCTGCCGTCCCCCGCGCCCTCGCACCCGCGGGCCAACCTCACCAACCAGTTCGTGCAGCCGCCCTGGCGCATCGCGCTCTGGTCCCTGGCCTACGGCGCCGTGGTGGCCGTGGCGGTCTCGGGGAACCTCGTCGTCATCTGGATCGTCCTGGCCCACAAGCGCATGAGGACCGTCACCAACTACTTCCTCGTGAACCTGGCTTTCTCCGACGCCTCCACGGCCGCCTTCAACACCCTGGTCAACTTCATCTACGCGCTGCACAGCGAGTGGTACTTCGGCGCCAACTACTGTCGCTTCCAGAACTTCTTTCCCATCACAGCCGTGTTCGCCAGCATCTACTCTATGACGGCCATCGCGGTGGACAGGTGAGGAGACGGGCAGGAAGGAGGGCGAGGGAGAGGAGAGCCAGGCAGGAGGTAGGGTTGAAAAGGGCCTGTGACGAGATGGGGACTAGGAAAGAGCTCCTGGAGAAGGAGGTCAGCAGCCCACTGGTAGTTCCCCTGCGGCTGAACCAGTTTCTGCCTCTATGGGCCGCCACTCCAACCTGCCCGCTGGTCCCCATTAACAGCACCTAGAGGGACTGAAGGAGGAGAGTGAAGGAGATGGGGAAAGTCTGTCATGGTAAATAGGACGAAGGCAGCTAGAAACACTTGATACCAGCAGACTTCCTCAAATGCCTTCAGACAATTGCTGCAAAGCTTTTGTTCTCTGTAAAATGGACCTTCCTTCTCCCTGTCAGTCACTACTCTGTCAGAGAAAGGGACCATGGGCCACCTTCCCTCTTCCCTCTGGTCTGCTGGTCCTCGCGGCACCCCACACCCCCTTTCCTTGCCCCAAGGTCAGCGCTGGTCTGGCCTCCCAGTCATGGAGCATCCATCAGAGGCGACAGCTCCTTCCAGGACATTGCTGTCGCCTGGTGGTTTCCCCAGTGTCTGGAGGTGGACCTCACATCCAGTAATCTGGGGCGTCTGTGAGCTGAGCCAGCCCTGTGCCTGGAAGATCTCACTCAAACCTTTCAGACGGTGGGCAACAACAAGAAGCCCAAGAAATAAATGTTTAAAAAACGAGACACACTACTTTATAGCTGTTTAAGGCACATTTTTTAGAATGTTCCCTCATCTACAGTGGGGATTCTGAGATGCTTAGGCAATTAAAAAAGCTGGATAGACCTCCAACATTTGTTCCTGTAGTTTTTAAAATCTCTGTGTGCATTTTGTTTCTTATATTGAACATTGTGAAATATGCATACTTGTATTAAGACGATGGTAAACCCCTACCTGCTATTGAAAGCTAGTTACACTTTAATTCAATATTATGCTAAAAATCAACAAAGCCAGTCGATTCCAGTCTTCCCTTTGCAATTGGCAGCTGCCTGGGGGACCATGGGGGTGATGTCACTTTAACCTCAAGTCTTGATGTTCTCATGTCTGGGTAGAGGAGAGCACTTTTTTCTACATTAACAAACCTGTTTCAAAAGAAAATGAGGCATAATATTAATTCTTGCTACACTAAGCTGACATTATGAGGAAAAAAAAAGAAACAACAAGTTCTTTCCATAAGTCCATCCTCTGTGTATGCTATTTTGAAAGAGTGAAAACAGAGGTATTGATAACATAAATCTTTAAAAATTATTTTCACATGCCAGGCTCGGAGGGTTACATTGAAGAATTAGTGATTACTTGCCACTAACTAGGATAAATAGGCTTCTTTTTCTTTTTCTTTCTTGTAAGCATGTGATTTTGTGATTAGGAGGAGAGGCATTAGCATATCATGTTATAAAATTCTCACAATCTTGAAATGTTAATGATGCATTATGAAAATTTAGTGTGTGTGAAATTGATATTTCAAGTCTGAGGAAAAAAGGTTATTTTTCTTATTACTTTCTTCTGACATTTATACAAAATGTGAAATGGTCCTGGAGTTGTTTTAATTGATAATGCAATACTATTTCATTACACTCACTGGTTTGAAATTAATGAATACTTTACTACTTATTATTTACTAGAAAACATTGTTCAGTCACTAAAACTGCAAAATTTTTGGAGCATACAATTTGCAACTAAACCTGAAGCATACTCAGTGCCGATACTGAATATCTTTTTTAAAACTGTTATTTAAAGGAATAATCTTATCAAATAATATAAAAGAGTTGATAAAAAGAAACACAGAAATACAGAAAAACCTGTTTAGGACAATTTCTAGAACGAAAGACTACACAAATATAACAGCTAATGGAACTTTCAGTAGTTTACCAGCCCACACAATCTTTCTGAATCGGTGTCTTATCGACATGAACTGGAAAAACAAGTCCTGTGGCATCCTCAGTGCTTTATAGAGTCGAGGCTGCAGGGCGACCCTCTGAGGAGGTCCAGGCAGTCAGGTGGTTCTCCTTATGATTGCAAGGACTCCCTGCCCCTCATGGAACATAGCTGCCAGTATCTGCTCACAGAAATCATATTCTCCTATATAATGAATGCTTCACTGAAATAACCATAAAGGTTATAATCCCTGCTTAGTTCTTATTGATGAAGAATGCATCATTTAGACTGCAACGTGAGCACTTGGCTTATTGAATTTTGAGTGTTTTCTATCCTCATTCAATATAAATGGAATTGTATCCTCCCAGCCTAAATGGAAAGCATACTGCACTCTTTCTGCCTCTCCCTAAAATAAAAAAATCTTCTGAGCTTGAAAGCTACCTCAGCTTTGACTCGGGTGCACTCAGCTTTCCTTCAGCTGCAGCGGAATGCTTGCAGCCCCTGGGACCTTAGAGATTTTAGCCTTGAAAGGACTGCAGATGCCCCCTTAGTGAGCAGCTCTGTTTCACAAGTGGAGGACCACAAGCCAGGGGTCTCACAGTTTGTTGAGCAAAAGGCACTGAGTTTTCCTTGAAGTGTTTGGCACTCATTCTGCACTGGAAAGGTTGCTTTCTGCTTCCATGTTTTAAAAATATAATATCAGTCACTCTACTAAAGATTTGAATGTGAAGTCACAGGTTCTGGTCTCATCCTGGGACATGTTACCTTCTGCTTTCTTAGAAATTCCTGCAAAACTGTGTTTCTATTGGTCAATAAGCGATCTTTCAGTTCCACACAGTTCCTTCTTGCCTGGAAGACTACTTCATCGTCCCTACACACACTCACGCGCGCGCGCGCACACACACACACACAGTGGAATTATTTGCCAATGAAGAGCTGCTCTCTCCACCATCCTTCCCAGATTTGCCATTTTGAAATGTAACATTTAAACACAACATTTATATAAAAGTTGCTAAGCTTTCCCAACTTGATGCAGTCTGGGATTCAAGGCACTGTTGTTGCTCCTAAGGAGCTGTGATGACTCAGGGTTCAATTAGGCAAAATTACACCTTCCAGGAGATTAGAACCAGCATCCGTTTATGCTGTGTGTCGTCCATGTGTCATAGCACATCTTACATATGTGTTGCTTATATTTAGTGTGGATGTAGACAGAAGATTATCAATCCAACAGTTAATGTAATACACAGCTTGTCATTTCTGTTCATTTGTGGCGTATGCCACTTGATATGCGGGGATATTAGAAAACAGAAAACATTTTCTTCCATTTTCTAAGCACCTTTTTGAGATTAAGTTAGAAACTCTAGGAAGGTTTATTAACATATAGCAAAGGACGATTTCAGGGCACATGGTCCAGTATTTATCAGAATACTTAATTAAAGAATTTTTAAAATGACATTCACTGTTTCTTACTTGGAAACCTTAAGGAGATGATTTAATATGATTTATTTATTTATTTATAAAGATAGGAGAAATGCTTTACATTCTTCAAACCTAGGGACACACATGACATGAGTAATTATCAAAAGAAATATTTAATCTAACTGAAGTAAGTTATATTTTTTAGCCAAATACATAGATAAAAATTTATCTTCTATGCTATTCTTTGTTTTTAATTTCTTTAGGAAGGTTCTTTAGCATAAAGCTAATTGTTATGTAAAGTATTTGCAGAACCTCTATTTCTTTTGAAATTTATTATGGACAAATAAAAATATGCAGTCATAAGAAATTGTGAGACCTCAATCTGGTAACAAATTACCTGAATGTATCATGGTAAGTTTTACATCATTGCTATAAATATTATGGATGTAAAAACTTGGCGCATTTTTAAAGACTCCTTGCTCAGTCTGTGATCCTAGTACCCTGGCCACCCCTCCTTCCTTCCACTGCAGGGAGAGCCGCTGTCCGAGCACGTAACACTGCTTCTTAGAGCTACAGTAAGACCCCACTCACTGTTCAGCCCAGAAGATGAACTGGGCGAGTTTAGGTTAAAATCAATTGCTTTATCTTTGCATTCTTTGCAAAATAGTAACTGAAACTAAGTTTTGGAAAAGATTACGTTTAGGAAATTTATTGTGAATCTTTGGTTCTTTCTACAATTTGTAGTTCTTTTCCAAGGATTTAAACGTATCCTATTTGCATCCACTAAAATTACTGCTGTATTGAGCTGTGAAAGTTCTGTTAAATCTATGTTGCAAATTCTTATAAAATTTGTTGTGAGCACACTGTGAAGGTGATAAATATGTATTAATGAATGGATGAAGTATGAGATCATCACAGAGGCAGATCCAATCAGAATGGCTCTCATAAACCAGCAGAACTCCAGTTGATTCAGCGTTATATTAACCACGATGGGAAAGAATATGGCAAAGGAGAGTTTGCAGCATATTTAACTGACATAGTGTAAAAAAACCCAAATTTAATCTATAATCTATTCTTATACATTAATAAAAAGTTATAACCCGAATATAAAAGAACAAATGGCATAAACTGAGAGTTCACAAAGAAGAAATAAAAACCTCCAGCAGACAGGAAGTTTTGTTTGCTCACATTCTGTGTCTCCATTTCCTCACCTGCCCTTTGCTCCTGAGGCCGTTTAAGTCTGCGTTCCTTTCCCAACACTCGGTCTCAGTCGTCTTGTGCAGTCGTGGGCGTTTCAGTCCTGATGTCCTTGACCTTCCAGTGGTATTCCCCACAGTGTGTATTCCCCACAGTGTGTATTCCGCACAGTGTGTATTCCCCACAGTGTGTATTCCCCACAGTGTGTATTCCCCACAGTGTGTATTCCGCACAGTGTGTATTCCCCACAGTGTGTATTCCGCACAGTGTGTATTCCCCACAGTGTGTATTCCCCACAGTGTGTATTCCGCACAGTGTGTATTCCCCACAGTGTGTATTCCGCACAGTGTGTATTCCCCACAGTGTGTATTCCGCACAGTGTGTATTCCCCACAGTGTGTATTCCGCACAGGGGTCCAACTTCCATGATCTCCTCCTCCTTCCTACTCACCTGTCTGCCACGGCTGTGTCCCTGACCCTCTGCTTTCACTT